GATACTTTTTCTTCCATTCTTGAGATACTTTGCTAAGAAGAATATGTTCCAGCTCCATCCATGTAAACATGAAGGAGGTAAAGTCTCCATCTTTCTCTAAGTCTCCATAATATTCCATGGTGTACATATACCACAATTTATTGATCCACTCGTGGATTGATGGGCACTTCGGCATCTTCCATGATTTAGAAATTATGAATTGGGCTGCAATAAACATTCTGGTACAAATATCTTTGTTGTAATGCAATTTTTGGTCTTCTGGATATATACCTAGTAGAGGAATTGCAGGATCAAATGGTAGGTCTATTTTTAGTTCTCTAAATGTTCTCCAAACATCTTTCCAAAAGGGATGTATTAGTTTGCATTCCCACCAGCAGTGTAGAAGTGTACCCCTTTCTCCACATCCATGCCAGCATCTCTGGTTTTAGGATTTGTGATTTACTGGAGTTAGATGATATGTCAAAGTAGTTTTGATTTGCATTTCTCTGATGATTAATGACAATGAGCATTTTTTCATGTCTGTAGGCCATGCGCCTATCTTCTTCAGAGAAGTTTCTCAAGTCCCTTGCCCACCCTGAGATGGGATCACTTGTTCTTTTCTTGCTAATGCACTTGAGTTCTCTGTGGATTCTGGTTATTAAACCTTTGTCAAAGACATGACCTGTAAATATCTTCTCCCATTCTGAGGGCTGTCTGCTTGCTTTACTTACTGTAAGTTTGGCTGTGCAGAAGCTTTTTAGTTTTATCAGGTCCCAATAGTGCATTTTTGATGTTGCTTTGATTGCCCGAGGGGTCCTCCTCATAAAATTTTTGGCCAGGCAGATTTCTTCAAGTGTTTTCCCTACACTTTCTTCTAATACTTTTATAGTTTCATGTCTTAAATTTAAATCTTCAATCCAATGAGAGTCTATCTTAGTTAATGGTGAAAGGTGTGGGTACAGTTTCAATCTTCTACAGGTCGCCAGCCAATTGGCCCTGCACCATTTGGTAAATAGGGAATCTTTTCCCCACTCAATGTTTTTAATTGGCTTGTCAAAAATCAGATTACAGTAAGTAGCTGGGTTCATCTCTTGGTTCTCTATTCTGTTCCATACATCTACCTCTCTATTTTTGTGCCAGTACCATGCTGTTTTGATCACTAACGATTTA